CTATCTAGAAACCTTCCACATCTTTTGACTGTTTTTCATAGATATAAAAATTGATCATGAGATTCTTCAAATTTTTTTAACAAGTCCTCTTCGAAATTTTCTTTGATATTGTAAGAGGGTTAGATACATTTCAGGGTAGGTAAGTCCCTGAACGTTTTATTTAAATTTAGAATATTTACGGTAAACTGAAATTCTTCTGGACAAAACGTATTCACGACTAGCTCACTTTATTAAAATTACCTTGTTCCATTTACCTCAGTAAAATGGAATTATTTGCTGTTAACCTGAAAACTAGAATACCGATCTTTTCCATCTTCCATCACCTTGATGGCAAATAAATCTTAATTAATATCCGCCTTCCTCTACCTACAGCCTTCGAACAAATGAACAGGGGCGGACTGGCCCGGGGGGGCGGGTGGCGATTGCCACCTGGCCTGTACGTCATAATGGCCCGTTGGAAATTTATAAGTATGTGCTGTATTTAGTTTCTTGTACTATTAATAAATTATTAACACGTTTCTCTAAATCGGGTTGATGTTAGGTTGTTAAAAAATTAAAAAATTATATTTTAATTGAAGTGTTTTACAATGAATTTATCATTTTTTGTCGTAGCATGAAAGTACTGAAATACAATGATAGGCGACGCGCCTCGTTTGGATTGTATATTTTGTTACTTTTAATTATCAGCTGCAATTTAAAAAAAACCTGTATTGTAATTGATTTTCGAAAAAGGAGTACTTTAAAATGAAGCAAAAAATGTTTTTGTGGTGCACCGCAGAGCTACCCTAAAATTTTTTTCCGGGTCGATCTGAGACAATTTTTTTTTCGGGCTCAAAAAAAGGCAGTGTATAACCTTCCTTTTTTACCTAAAATCGACTGCACCAAAATTTCTCGGGAAAACACTTTTTCTTATTAATTTTGGTGCGTAGAATCTAAAACAATTCGTACTTTTTCGATCGGACTTCTCAATCAAAAGTTATGGGACTAGAAACCAATTTCGAAAGAAAATTCAAAGGGCTGTAACTTTTGAACTAGTAGCCCAATTTTGGAACTGTTTGAAATTATGGATTCTACAGGCCACATTCTATAAGAACACTTTTTTTCCGGGTCGATCTGAGACAATTTTTTTTTCGGGGCTCAAAAAAAGGCAGTGTATAACCTTCCTTTTTTACCAAAAATTGACTGCACCAAAATTTCTCGGGAAAACACTTTTTTTTATTAATTTTGGTGCGTAGAATCTAAAACAATTCGTACTTTTTCGATCGGACTTCTGACTTCTCAATCAAAAGTTATGGACTAGAAAGAGGTGCGGACTGGTCCGGGGAGGCGGGTGGCGATTGCCACCTGGCCTGTACGTCATAATGGCCCGTTGGACATTTATAATATAATAAATTGTCGTTAAAAGTGATTGTAATACTGAGGATCCTTCGATATTTCGTTGTATCGGTTTATTATCTTCGCATTTTTTTTTAAGTATAGATATCGAAAACGATACTGGCATAAATCTAAAAATACAGGACGTCAAATGAGTAATAAAGAAACTCAAAGAATTTTCTTTTAAGTCTAATTGTCTCATTGTAATACTAATAACTGTTTTGCACGTGTAACTTGTAACATTAGAACTACCAACTTCTAACATTGTAACATTACATATTATACTACGTTTCTTAATAAATAATTTTGCACTATTAGAAGTTAAATAATCTCATTAAACTAAAATGAGATAGTTAATTACTAGATAGTGGAACATAATTCAATTCAGTAACATACATAATAGGGAATCTATTCCAATTTCATTACTGCTAAAACCGTATATGCAGGTACAGTCAAAGATAACGCTGGGCATTTGTTTATTGAGTTGGTAGCAAGTACGCCACTCATCTACAATTTAAATTAGAAAGTTACATAGGGACGCACTCGAGGACGCAACATTATTTTTTAGCCTTATTATTTTAGGCTACGTTGGGTGTCTTTATTTATCAGTTTACACAACTACATCTACACATTTATTTACAGCAAGTCTGTTGGACAATAAATGATTATTATATTATTAAATTATTATAAGAAAGATAACTGATCAATTTTCCATGATTGGTCAATAACAAAGAAGAAGCGAAAATCATAATACGACGTAACCTCGGACGTAACCTAATGAGATCCATCGATATACATAGGAATTTTACTGCAAAATTGGAAACATCCACGAAACCCTATCGATTGTATACGTAATTTCGCGAAAATGAAAACAGGGAAAAGTTTGCCATAGCATCTGCGTACGACTTTGGTGGTATCGTCCAATACGCACAAGACTTTTTGGTGGTTCTGACTGCGATTTAGAATGTACACTGCTGTATTCACCGCTTCACCCCATAATTTCCTAGGTAAATCTTTTGTATATAACATTGATCGGGCACTTTCAACGATAGTTCTCATATCCCTTTCCGCTTTTCTTTTATTTCATACCTGATCGTTTGAAATTGCAAATGATACAGATTATAATTTGCCATTCGGTTTGCGCATGCTGCTACCTTCTCATTCTGATACAGCAATGCAAACTTATATTCCTTAATAATTTTTATTCCTTTACTGGTAATGACACCTTCAGAAAAGAGATTTTTATGTAAATCTGGTACATACAACACATTTGTCAAAATAGCATATATCATTATTATTTAGATTAGATTAGCGCTCGAAGAGTAATAACGTGTATAATTCTTCCTCTCTGTATTTTGATAACCTTTCGTGTTGTAAAAGCAGTACCTACAGTAAGAAAAATAATACAACCCTTACATGTGTAGTATAAAGGTGCAAGTGTGTGTCATAAATTCATCAGTCTGGTTCGTACAATTTGTTATACAGTAATTATGCAATATTTGTACGCAAAAATTAACTGATACGTCCCCTGGCCTTCAATGCGTTACATCTAAACATTACTATCGTGCAAAATGTGTCGATATAGGTATCGAAGAACCAATTAGATTTTCTCAAAACGCTTGATGGACTGTGGAACTGCTTAAATTGCCGCAATTCACCTAACACTACTGTCTCTCATCAATGTGGCTGTTGTAAATTAATACCCGATGTACTTAAAACAATTAGCGACCTATCCAAAACTGTGGAAGATTTACAAACCAAACCTTAATTACATACCTATGCGTATGTGCAAATTAATTCTGAAGAATAAACATACTGTTTCCTTTTAATTAAAACTATCATTTGAGGGTTCAAAATTGTACTAACCAACAATCGATTTCGGATAATTTTAAAGTCAGCGTTCTTTGAGGTGAAATTAATGTTGGTGCACGGCAAATTTTCTCCGGGAAATAATCTACAGTTTCGTATAATTCATTCTACATTTGTACATGTACGCATAACAAATAAATGTCGAATGTAAATTTCTAACCCGGATAAAACGTCATCGCTTCCTGTTGATATTTCTATCCTAATCGCGATATGTGGCGAGCATATGTAAACAATATTAAACATGCATGCGTTTATCCTACTTGTTTCGTATACTTAATTGTATTTACAGCCAGACGTGAACATATCACCCTGAACCCTCCACAATAATTTGGAATTCCGGAATCAAGCACAAACTTAAACTCGCTGAACCTACCAAAATACCAAATAAATTGTATAACTATTAATCTACGATTTCGCAAAAAAATGGCAAGATTTTCCATAGATACGATGATCTAAAAGAAACCAAAATTTCCAAGACACTAAGGACCGCAGACATTTTGGAATTCTTCCAAAACTACATCATCGGAACGTATCCACGGCACGAGAAACGAGGGCGGCCTATTTTGGTGACAAACTAGAACCGATATTGGATAGTGGGATCACTTGAATATATTGTAGACCAAGACATGATAGCAAATTAAATTTTGGCGCGCGTCCAAAAGGGTCGACGGTGTCAATCAGCTAAACTCGCTCATAACGGAAACTGAAGATATATCTACTTTAATGGTAATGGAGAAATACGCGTCGGGCATAACTTAAGTTCGTCTACATCCCAACCTAATTCCTATGTTATTTATTAAGTAATTATTTTAAAACCATTGCAAATGTTTATTTAAAGAACTCAATTGTACATGACTAGGTACTAATAAATATTCATGTCGCTCTTTTACAGGACAAGGCTATCTTTTGACACACCTCCTTTCAGCACAAGACATTCGCATCAATTGCACAGAAAGTGTATAAATAATTTATGTTAAAATCTTGCGCGATGTCTTTATATTAAGTAGGAAAATGGATAATACATTTCATAGTCACTTGTTGCAATGGCTGCAACTTCTTCCTTAAATTATAACAATTCCTCTTTGTATTAAAAATGTCATTGTAATAGTGTGTCGAGAAAGTACTAATTGCCATTTCTGTATCAATATTTTGATTATTGACACATCTTATCCGTATTGTATTAATAACAAGTTCCACAAAATTTTGCTAAAGCTTATTCCCGTTTCCGTTCATATAGCTGTAAACTTTCACAAATAAGTTTAAATTGAGCTTTATGGTTCTTAAAGTATTCGGATAACAGTTTACTGCCTAGTAGATACTAAAGAACCCCAAAAATGTTATGTAATTTTCCGCGAAAATCGACAGTTTCCAGACTTATCATATAGCGATTCTGTATAAATATAGAATTGGCTTTAAAATCAGTTGTCATAGTTGGTGTCATACAATTTTGGCAATTTACCGGTGAATTAAAATCATCATAGTAGTATTATTTTCACAAAAATGTTATATCAATTTTATTAGCGTTATTTAAGGGATGGTCTGTGTCAATCAACTTCGTAAACTATTATTACCTGACCACCCCTAAATGTTTCTTCTCATTCACCTATTTTACTTTACATTTTACTTCACACATTACCTTTGTCTTTGATCCACCTACTCTTCTCAAACCCACTCTAGAATAATAAACGAATACAACAGTGCTAACCCTAGTTGCTAACGTGATAATGTTAAAAATTAATAAAACATAAGAAACTCACTTGTGGAATTCGTTCCTCCTCCGGTGGAGGGGCAGTAAGTTCCTGATAAGAATCGTCACTGCCCCTACGACTTGGAGCACCGCATACGGCCCTACGGAAGACGCGGGCGACCAGAGCACAAAGTCCGCACTGTTGTCGGCCGCCACGACGTCTTCCGCCATTCTCAGCCGCTAGCTCCCTGCCGCTTCCATCGCGACAGCACGCCACTGCTCCGCTTATACCGACAGCACTTCACCAAACTCAACTCTTCTGCACTTAATGTTACGTTACCTCCACAAGTCGAGGAAATTCCTTCGGCAAGCAAACTCTCAATTTACCACCAACGAAAAAACTTGTATCTTCCGAACTGTCTCTCGCAACAATTTCGGTGGTCCTTCCGTGAGAGAAACACCGGCTTATTCATCTCCAACTCGCGTTTAGGTCTATCTGAAAATAACATTAGAAAAAACGCTAAGCAAAATAAAATTTTTGGCAACGATATAGATTTTTTCGTCTTGAACGGAATTTAAACGATATCGCCCCAGTTTTGTCAAGAACAATCAGAAATTGCAATTTATCCTTGCTCATAACGCGATGTTAAGCAGCAGTTCCAAAAATATGCTGCCAAGTGTGTCCGATAATAATTGGGTATGTCGTCTCTCTAAATACACGGATTTCTCATATCAACTGCTACGCGACGAGATGCCTGCCAGTAATTAATAACTACACTGTTGACCGAGCTGTTGATGATCTGTACGAAATTAGGAACGCGTCTCCAAAATGGCCTAATAATTACTTAGTTGTCTTTGTTCAAAATAGCTTTTTCGTTAGTATCGACGACCGAACAGCTTCCGGAACCGGATACTGTTATTGTTACAGCCAAAAGCCAAAACTAATTAAACCCTGATATCTCCATCTCTACTCATTTCTTTGTAAATAAGGAAGTGACGTCAAGGTGGAGAAATTTCAAGGCGTTTACCGTCAAGCAGCGTCGAACTTTTTCGTTTAGAGTTACGTCGTATTTATTTTACCAAATGCATAACAATTCCCATTAAGTCCTTCAATTAACATAAGATGTTTAAATTTAATTCAAACTTGTAGCTCGAGTTGTAGCTCGAAAATCGAGAAGAAAAAGAATTATTGTAAAAACAAATAAAAAGGGCTCACTCACAGTGAGCGATACTAATTAGAAACACATAATTAAGGAAAAATTGATTTTACTAGTCGCAGTTTTCCTCTATAAAACATTTAATCTTGACTGCTATAGGATCGCATAGAAATCGCCGATTGTGAAGACATCTAGCTATATCCAAAAGATATCCTCGGACTACACGCATATCTTCCAATATCCAGTAAGTAGATGTCTATGGATATCCGTCCAAAAATTCTTACATGAGTCAAGAAGCAATGGATTTTATTGAGTCATAGTTTGAGAACACATCCTCCAAGTTCTTCAAATGTAGATGCAGTGTTCTTCCAATAACAACTACCTACTAGACCTCCTTGACTTTACCGATATTGTTGGCGAAGTAGAAACATACCTACATCGCAACCAAGAGATGCCCTCGGATTACAACATAACATTTTTGAAAATTAACAGAAAAAATGTTGTGCCGTGAATGGGATTGCCTACGTTAACATTCCATCTTGTGTACCTAAATTAAATAGTGAACTGCAACGACCATAATTAGCATTACGTTCTAATGGAACAAGCCCGATGCGTGGGCAGGTGATTGAGCGATGATTATTATACCTACATCATTAGCATTACTGATTAGACTAATTTCTTCAAATAAATACTTAGACGATGTGACTAGCTTTCCGGAACGATGAGTTTTTCCGCTTAAACTGGCCTCGCCACGTTATGCACTAGGAATAAAAAACCTCATTTATCACATACACACATACATTTCAATGTGGGAAGATATAAAGTATGGGAAAGAACAGTATTACTTTTCACACCTGTATTCTACGTTTCAGGCGAAGTGTGAAAATAACAGCGCGACAATAATATTATTTTAAGGCTGTTGAGTGTTGAGCATATTTTTGCAATTAAAAATAAAAATAGTATGTGGCACACGCTATGTGTGATATATTTATTGTTATTATTTAGTTTAGTGCCAAGCTCAGTTTGTCTTTCCTCAAGGATTATTTCTCTACTTTGCTTTCTAAGTGTCAACAATCAGTGCCTGGATCGATGTCCTAGAAAATTGTGTAAAAAATCGAATCATTCATCCACTCCAAACGTTTTTCAAGATTGAACTTTGCAGAAACGCTAGAAAAATGATTGAAAAAGAGGCGGTTTTTATTTTTCCAATTTTCCATTTTTGCTCTTGGGGAGCCAACAATCGCATATTACGCATATTCGCATATTTTACATTGAAATGTTTTGAACGTTTCGGGCAACAATCTGCACCTACGGGATTAAAACACACACTTTAGTCATTTGGTATAATATAATATACTACTGCAGGATGCATAACAAATACTTAAACCGGCGAGTCTGAAATGAAGCTTCAAATTTTTCACTTGGAATACGTCGGTAACATTAAATTTCAGCATCCTTAAATGTCTATTCAAAACCAAAATTTTAAAATGAAATATCAAACTTGAAGTTGGAAAGACTTTAGTAGCTTTAAATTGCAAGTGGAAATTTTTATTTTTAAAGTTCGGAGCATTGATACTGCAGAAGATTTAAGATCTGTCACTAATTGCAAGTTCAGCAAAATTCTATTCTAGTCATCAACGGAACATTTGGAAAAAATGCTAGTAAATAATTGAAGATGGATTGCATTCTACAAGAGTCAGTCAGTAGGTAGATTCACTAAAATACTGTAGTGATTTCTCTTTCGCCCACTTCTAATGAAGAGTGGCGTAAGGTACCATTTTGTCGACAACAGATGACACCCAATTAATTATGAAGCAGCACTAATCGCCAATTACATTGTAATTCTGAACTTGTGCTTGATTAGTAACTATAACCATTCTTTAATGAATAAACAAAGCTATAACGAATATGTTGGCGCTGAAATTTTAATGAATGCAAAACTGTTGAAAAAACAATTAAGAACAATTTGTGGCTTCCTCTAATTAAACTTTTAATTACCGCTTAATGCGCACTACTGTCTCCTCTTTTTCGTAGATAATAAAAGATTATACAGTAGCCGTTAACCGAAACAAAGGGGGCTAGGCGCGTTTTGGATAACTAATTCCGATAAAGCTTATTTTTAAATTCTAAGTGAAAAAAAAGCACAAGAAATGTCAAAATATTTTTAATCAAACCCTCAAAATGAAGTTTTTAACACAATACACATAGCGTAAGTAAAATGCAATGATTATTCTTTTGTACAATGCCGTTAATTTAGGTATATCTTCGGGTATATCTTTTAAAAAAATCTTCAATTTTCTTTTGTTTTTTGGTCGCTCTGTACGGTTTTGGTTAAACGCGATTTCGGTTAATAGAGATATCGATAATAGAGAGACCTGTAATAAAATTATGCATTGGCGTAAATTCACATCGGTATGCTTAAAATTAAGAACGCACTCATTATAATTCAAGGCGCGAGGATGAAATCCTATGACCTACGGTAAATTGCGCCCTCCACCCCTATTTTATTATGACTTACACATAATACTTAAATTGCAATAAAGTTTATTCGGCACTTGTCACTAATTTATTATTGAGACGGCGTACCGTACAGAATAGAACAATGACACCTCGAATGACACAATGCGCTAAAATAATTTGGCGTGCAGATTTAAATAGCCCTTGTATACGAAATTAGGTGTGCACCAAAAATGGGCCATTTATTATCGACCATACATATGTATGAGAAAACTTGCGTGCGCGTTAGATTTGCATTTTTTATTATCTTAGCTCATTACTTGTCTTTGTAATATGAATCAAGGAGAGCTAGCAAAAAACATTCGCAAAATGCTCTCAGTTGAATCTCTCAATAAAGTTACGTCAATCGATAGACGACACGCCCAATACGTGTCGGACGGTGCAGCGTCGAAACGCACGTCGACGTCTTTTCAGAACTTTTCGCAACTAAACGGAGATAAACACTCAACTCTAAAGCAAAGTTTCTAACTTCCGCGGCATGTGGAATGTACAACACGACAAAGAGTAATACATTAATGCGTTTACTGCGGAGGTACATTAGACGGCAGATTTTTAGATTTTCAAGGAAGGAAAGTGTGGGTAGTTCGTTTTTTTAACTCGCTGGAGGTCTAGTTATTACAAAAGGTTTCGACGAACAGCCCCGTTTTCCATACATTTTTAAATCCATACTCGTCGAATGTCAAATAAACCCCTAAAGCAGATCTAAAAAAGAGGCAGTACTTGGGTGTGACCCTACGCGGGGCCATTGGATTTCATACATTTTTAATAGGCTTGTTACATGTGGCATATAGGTCAGCTGTGCAAAGTTTGAACCTATTCGGTTCAAGCTCGGATCCAAGCAGGGATCCAGGCCAAGATCGGTCCAAGCGTTTGACAGTTATCGTGTTGACGGGCAGACGGAAACCATCGACTCCCCTATAAAGCTAGCATCGCTTTGCTCTGCCGCTTAATAATAATGTTCCTAGGCGTGGTACACAAATGAGGAGAAGGCTGTAATGTTAGTCCTGCCACTTTCCCGTCCGTTAAGACCATCAATAGCGTAACTGCAAAATCAGTGCCGAGTGGAAGTAATTCTCAACATTTGAGAGCTCGTTTAGGTCAGTAGAAAACCAACTTTTATTGAGGACGGGCAATGAGAGGGGGGAGGTCGGATCTACCTACGTCATTGATTTGATTTACTTCATGTTCAATCTCGTGTTCAATGTTAACATTAATCATACTTTTTTGACACATTCTTGAAAGTACAAATAGATGTATTATTATATTCATAGGGCAAATTTAATTTATAACGAGGCCATCCAAATTTGGTTTTGTTAGTATTTTTGTAGAGAATTTTATGGCCTTTGAAATGTGTCAATTGACGGTGGGTGCATATTATAAGTTAATTTAAAATGGGAATAGCTGGGGGTAAATGCTAAAATTACGGTAAACCTTTCGTTATACTTGAACATAGCTATGTAAATGGACGCTTTATTAAATTATAATCGATGGTATGTCTTGAAATGCAAGCTTTGGGAAGAAAGACGAAACGCTTGGTTACGATTACGCGTTGACGATTATTGCAAGCAGAAACGTTGAAACGTAGTGCATACATAAAAATCGTGAAACAAATTCCGTATATGCCAAGTATCACGATTCCACGACATCCAGTTATCTGAAAATTCGCTCGACGCACCCAGAAGTCCGGATATTTTGGGCGATGCATTACCTAGAACTGGATGATTTGAATATCCCGTAATAGTAATTTACATAAGTCAGGAAAATGATACATTACTGGCGAGGAAATATTGAAGTGCGAGGCCCCTTTGGGGACGAGTACTTT